AAGGGAAAGCTGCAGATTCCAAGTGGGAATCCATCTTCCCTGTGGGATCAAATAGTTTTTGGGATAGCTGGGGGTGTTTTGGGAGCAAATCCATGGATTTTACCTCTCCTCCCTGGTCCAGATCCATGGATTCCAGGTCGGTGTCCATGCGGGATTGGCGCACGCGTTCCCGCCGGGAGCGCTCCTCCTGAGGGGAAAAATTGGGATTTAACCTCAGATAAGAGGCTCAGACTCCTCTGAAGTGTTGCTGTTCCCTCAAGTTTTTACAAATAAAAACTTCCCATTTTGATAAACTGGGAATAACTGTTTTTATAAACTGGGAACAGTCATTTTTGGTGGGAAAACCGAATTTCCCCTCACAAAAATGGCTTCCACGAGGAGGGATCCTCCTGAGGGGAAAAATCAGGATTCAGCCTCAGGAAAGGGCTCAGCCTTCTCTAAAGTGCTGCTGTTCCCTCAATTTTTTAGGAATAAACCAGGAATAATCATTTCTATAAATGGGGAATGGCAACTTTTGGCGGGAAAACCAAACTTCCCCTCACAAAAATGGCTCCTGCCATGAGTGATCCTCCGGAGGGGAAAAATTAGGATTCAGCCTCAGGAAAGGGCTCAGACTTCTCTAAAATGCTGCTGTTCCCTCAATTTTTTAGGAATAAACCAAGAAGAACCATTTTTATAAATCAAGAATAATCATTTGAGGTGGGAAAACTGAATTTTCCCTCACAAAAATGGCTCCTGCTGGGAGGGATCCTCCTGAGGGGAAAAATTTGGATTGAGGCTAATTCTCCTCCAAACTGCTCGTATTCCCTCAATTTCTCTGGAAAAATCCATCCAAAAATCAGGAACAACCATTTTGACAAACCAGGAGTAATCATTTTAGACAGAAAAAGTGAATTTCCTCTCACAAAAATGGCTCCACACAGAGCATTCCACCTGTAGGGAAAAACTGGGATTCAGCCTCTTAAAAGTGCTCCTGCTTCCTCAATTTCTTTGGAAAACTCATCCAAAAACCGGGAATAAACATTTTGATAAACCAGGAGCAACCATTTGGGATATTTTGTGGGATTTAGGGCATTTCAGCTGATTTTTTATGAGATTTTGAAGGAAAAACAAACTCTGAGAAAGCAGAAGAGACCACAGCAGTGTGGCTTCCCCACAGATTTTTGGGGGATTCCAGCCCCTTTTCCAACCCCAAATCCCACAAACCCCACAAAAAAACAGGAACATTTTGTGGGATTTTGAAGGAAAACTTTGATTTTTTGTAGGATTTTGAAGGAAGAACAAACTCTGAGAAAGCAAAAACGGCCACAAGCGCGTCGCTTCCCCACAGATTTCCAGCCCCAACCCCAAATCCCACAAATCCCATAAATCCCAAAAAGATTCCTGACCCGGATCAGATCCTCTTTTTCCGTCTCGTGGAGCTGGTAGAGGAATTTGGAGAGCTCGGGGTCGGCCTCCATCTTGCCCATGATGCGCTCCTTCTCCGCCTCGCTCTGCGCGCTGGCCAGCAAGGTGCAGTACAGGACTGGGAAAAAGCATGGAAAAATCCTTTTTATGGGAATTTTTGGGATTTTTATGGGATTTTCTAGGTGGTTTTTAGGGGAATTGTTGGGGGTTTTTTGGGGGGATTTCTTTTAATTTTAACAGGATTTTTTTCTGGTGGTTTTGGGATTTTGCACCCCAAACCCAGGGAATAATGGGATTTTGATAGGATTTGTTGAGACTTTTATAGGATGTTTATGGAAATTTTTGGGATTTTTTTTTTTGTGACTTTTATGGGATTTGCTGGGATTTTTATGGGAATTTTTGGATTTTTTGTGACTTTTAGGGGATTTGCTGAGATTTGCATGGAATTTTTTGGGGAAATTTTGGGATTTTTATGGGATTTTTTGGGATTTCTATGGAAATCTTGGGATTTTTTGGGATTTGATGGAATTCGATAGGATTTTTTGGGAGTTTGATGGGATTTTTTGGGATTTTGGGACATAATTCCGTTGGGAAAGGGAAATAAAAACTCACTCATCATCCTGTGCTGCCTGAGGACCTTGATAAAGTCGAAGGTGTTGAAGCCCAGCAGCAGCACCAGCTGGTTCTCACATTCCCGGTCGTCGCTGGCAGTCTGGGGGAAAAAAAACATGGAATTTTCACACCCAGGGAATCCAGATCCCTGATTTCCACAGGATGGAGGCGAGGAGAGGTTGGGAAAGGAGTGGAAAACAACCCTGGAAGCTAAAAAATCATCCTGGAGGCTAAAAAGCAAACCTAAAAATTCTAATTTTTCTACAAAATATGGGAATCAGGAGGGGAACACCCCATGGAAACGCAAAAACAACCCCAGAAATTCCCATTTTCCCAAAAAAGTATGGAAATCAGGGGGGAAAAGACCCCATGGACAACGATTTCCAAGGAAAAACCACCCCAAAATCCCATAAAAACACTAAGAACGAATTTTGAGCCGAATTCCCATTTTTTTAGAGGGAGAATTCTCCCAAATGCCAAGGATTTGGTGGCCACAGACCTTGAGGATCTCCAGGACCTCATCTGCCTTTTTCTGGGAGACGATGGCGTCGTCGTAGAAGCGGCTGAGCTGGCGCTGCAGCCAGAAGGCGTCGATGTCCCGGGGGTGGAGATCCTTCTTCTTGGAGCTCATCAGCTCCCCTGAGGCCACCAGCTGGAAAAGCCCAACAATTCCCATCAAAATCCCATTAAAATCCCAAAAAATCCCATTGAAATCCCAAAAAATCCCATTGAAATCCCATCATTCCCAAGGTTTTGATGTCCCATTGGTGGCAGCTCATCAGCTCCCCCGAGGCCACCAGCTGGAAAAGCCCAACAATTCCCGTC